GATAAGGCCTCTGATGACCTCCTATCAGTCTTGTATTTATATGGCCTGAGCTCCTAGGTCCTGATAGAGCTAAGCCAGAGAGAGTACTTGTTCCTTCAAAAGTATGAGTTTCCAGGATACACAGCAACTAATACTTTAGGAGTTTACTAGCTATCTAAGATACGGTTAAAGGGAGGAAGAGATATGCCAAAAAATACATGTTAGAGTTGATGACATTAAGTGGTTCATTTATTTGAGAGTTTTACTTGTCACTCAAGGGTTTATATCCTTTGTGGAGGGGGGACGGTGGGTGATGTGTGTGTGCCAGCCAGTAGTGGGACTTGAAGTCAGAGTCTCAAGCTTTCACTTAGCTTTTTCACTCAAGGCTCTGGAGCTCTATCACTTCAACAGCACCTCCATTTCCTGCTTTTTGGTGGTTAACAGGAGAGAAGAGTCTCACAGACTTTCTATCCAGCCTAGCTTTGAACCATGATCCTTGGATCTCAGCAGCTTGAGGAGTGAAGATTATAGGCATGAGCCACCAATTCCTGGCACCTACTGTTACATCTTACTTCTTTTCCTCTGTCCTATAGTCCCTGAAGCAGTGACATCATCAGCTACATAAGAGTACTCCAACAAGATTACAGTTGCTTCTGGATTACAGAACAAAAGACTTGGCCTGCACTAAAATGGTAACTACTGGGAGACTTATACACACCCTAGTTTCAATGGCATGTCCTAGTCATTTGCTACAATAGGAAAGGCAACTTCCAAATGGCACTGCCCAAGTTGTCAATCATGCTGACCTCACCCTAGTAACAAAGTGACTGTTGGGGGAAGAAAGCAGCTGACACTTCCTGGTTCACTTTCAACACCACGCTCTCTTTATTTTACTTGTTCATTCTTATTACTTCCTCTCTCACACCCCCTACCACTTCAGTCTGTCAGTTAGGCCAATTAAACCCATAAAGTACTTCTGAAATCCACAACTGGATTACATTATCTTTCTTCCTTTTTTTTTTTTTTTGGTGCTGGTACTGGGGGCTTGAGCTCGGGAACTCAAGCTCTTCCTTAGCTTTTTCACTTGAAGCTGGCACTCTACCACTTGATCCATACCTCCACTTCTGGCTTTTTGCTAGTTAATTGGAGATTAAAAAAAAAAAATCTCAGATTTGTTTGCCCAAGCTGGCTTTGAATCCTGATCCTCAGATTTCAGCCTCCTGAGTAACTAGAAGTACAGGCTTAAGCATTAGGGCCTGGCTCTAGTCCTCTTAAATAAAGCTATCCCTTTCTGTTCAGCTTCACCCTACACAATCCTCTAAGTTCCCAGGTGCCCCAGCCTTTGAGCCTTTGCACAGGTTTCTTACCAGGCCCACTTGCTTTACTCTTCAGTAGAAGAAGTCCTCTTTATTCCTCAGATATATGCCAAAAGCTATCTTGCAATCTCCTCTGCTCAGACTGGGCTTGAACTCCTGGGATCAAATAATCTCCCTTCCTCAATCTTTAGAATAACTGAGACTCTAGGCTTCATCCACCACACCCCACTTCATAATCTCCTTCTTCAAATCATAACATTCCTTCTCTTTTGTGATAGCCTGTTCTTTTCCTCCACTGGACTTATCACAATTCATGATTATTTTTATGTTCATTTGTTTAAAGTCTACTCCCCACAAGGCTCTGAGCTTCTCCAAAGCAAATACCATGCCTGCCTTGTTCAGCACTGGTTTACTCTGCATATACAGCACCTGCCACATACATAGTAGGTATTAAAATGTATTTAAATGAACTGTAAAAATGAGAAAGAAATGAAAAAGCAGTTGGAAGTTCCTCCATGCTAAATGAAAGTCTTGCAAACAAAATGCTAGGTATCATCATCAAAAAAACCACAAGGAACTTCTCACACCTCAACTAATGACAAGTTTGACATACTCTCCTCTACTGGTCGTAGCAAGGTAAGGTTGTTTACCCCAGAACCTACAGAACACTCAATCTTGCGCACCAAGCTTAGTTTTCTCCAGTGAAGTGGGTGGGGCTTGATAAGTAGGAGGGCTTCCAGGAAAGCCCAATACTATCTTTAAAAGAAATTCCAAGAAAGAAAGGAAACAAAACAAAACAAACTCAGTAAGAACACTGCTTAAAATTTCCAACCTGTTACAAAAATTTAAGCAGAGAAAACCTAAAAGTATAAGCACAAACCCCAATTGCTTATCATGGGAATTATTTATCTCTACAGACATCTAAGCCATTTCTCTGAATCTGTCCTAGAAAAACAACCTCCTAGCCCTATTTCTTTTCTTCTTCATTTTTATTACTAAATAGTTGTACAAAGAGGGTACAATTCCATAAGTCAGGCTATGAGTACAATACATTTTAATCATTGCCACCTTTTCTATCATTTTTCCCATTTTCCCTTTCCTGTCCCTACCCTCAAGTTACATAATTCAATTTCCTATTTCTTTTTTAGTAACCCCAATTTTTCAACTGTCAACTTACTCCAACATCTGAGTACACTTACAGTTCTTTCAATTATCTACACTTTAGAATATCCAATTCTTTCAAATAGCTACATTTTAGAATATCCTTGAGCCTTGTTTGAGGTCCTGGTACTTCACTGATTCCCATTTAACAAAGATCCTCTGAGACCCTACTCTCTACCAGATGTGACAATGAATTTCAAACCTAAAGGTCACACCCTATTAAATACATCACAGCTATGTTACCTTAGTGTTTTAAAGGTGTGTGTCATCACTCCAAACTTGAAATGATATAAAAAGTACATTCTCTTGACTCCAAATTAATTTGATAGGTGGAGGCTTTTACAAGAAAGTAAGTGGGAACATTAGCACAGTTGGCTCTTAATGCTCAAATGACTCTTGAGTTTCAGCAACTGGACCCATGACAAAAGTCATGCTCTGTTGAAGCAACTCTTCTTTGCTAGGGAGTAACACAACACACACACACCCACATACACACACACACACACACACAATCTAGAGACCAGGATTTTAGTTTTTGTTCTGTTTCCGGTTTGCAATGTCTAAGGTTTGCAATGTCTAAGTCAAACCATTAATAACTAGTTTGAATGACTTTCCCAGGTCAACTGTTTTCTTTCTGTTAAAACTTTTGCCTTTGAGAACATATCTTACTCTCCAAATCTCAGCTGACATAGGGTACCCTAGTGATAAACTGAGGCATGAAAGCAACTCAGTTTAACTGGGTTCCACCAACTCTTTGGAAAGCCCCAGGAAGTGGTAGATGGAAAGCTTATGATTTCATCTACTACTCGTAGAGGAGCAGGAAGCCTTCCACTGAAGTGACAAAAAAAAAAACCCAAACACATTAACTAAGCACTATTTTTCCAGCAAGTCATACTGTGACTAAGTAGCAGTCAGCTCTTGTAATAGAAACAGGAGTGACTATGTAGGTTTAGGATTACCATGAAGATGAGCAAAATGGAGATGTAGAGACTTAACTTAAAGACAGCTTAGAAAGGTTTTATCTCTCACAAAGCAGTACAGAACCTTTTGAATCTTAACACCAGCTTCCTGAGTCCAGAATCGCAGAAACATCTTACAAACATCAATTAAGTCTGGCAACATGCTCTATTTAGAAATAGGGAAACAGGTGAGCCTGAGCAAGCCAACAATGAGTCAGGTTCACAGAGGACACCAGACTCAGGACTCTGAAATCCCCATCTCTGGTAGGGAGATGTGATCTATCTGTCAAAGAGATGAAATATTCACAGAGAAACAGATGGCAAAGACGGAAGTGAATAACATACTTACATTTTAAGATGAGGCAAGATAAAGAATGGCCAATAGCCAACAACCAAGGCCCCAAAATGTCATTTAATCTGATGGAAAATTAGCATTGCTTCACCTGCTCCTTCGCAAAGACACTGAACAGCCTTCTGACTTGTACGGTGATGCTATGAGATAATCCCTCCATCTTCACAAGAGTCTCCATTTTTATCTGATTTGAGTTCAGAAATGCCTATTCATCTGTGCCCAGATAAGTGGATCAGATATTCCATGTCCAAACACACTCCCTGAAACTAAGTCCACCCTAAAGTAAGGCTCAGGGTAACTAGGAAGCCTCCAGCCTTTTCTGTTCCAATCACCACAAGTGTTCTATCTAATTCACAATGGGTGAGTCAGTGTGCTTCAAATACCCTGCAAGGTTTTAGGTGGTGAGATGTCTAGCTGGTAGCTTTTAGGTCAAGCAATGTAACTAGGTAGGCGAATCATGACCAGCTTTGGTACACTAGATAAACAGATGTTCCATGGGATAGAGCACTGCCCTTTCCAAACACCTGCCAATGAGAATAAATAAATCCCTAACTGTGAGCTTTGGCTGGGTTTTGCCCAGCTTTCTGGTGTAATGAGATACTTTGAGAGAGCAGCCTAGACCAAGAGTAGGACAGACTCCCAAGAGGACCAATACCCAGTTCAGTCCAGCCCAGAGATGGGCACTGAGGCCATCCATCGGCTGTGAAATCCCTACTAATTTGGAACTGGGGGGCAAATACCAAACTATTCTTGCTGAAGGAACAAACTTAGGTAGGGGCGGGAGTTAGCCAAGCAGACTGGTGGCTTTCCACCTTCCCCTGCCTCCCCTCCTCCAGCCGCCCCCCCACGGTAATGGCCCTACTCTGGGGGCCATTACCATGGGATGGCCCTCCTGCAGTTCATTTTCCCCGAGGTCAGGGGTCCGTCAGCTCAAGGGTGCTGCTCTGTAAAATACCCTGATGGTAAAACGAGTAATACCTAAGCAGTCTGCTGCCCACAGACCATTTCAATTCATCAAAAACTCAGTTCAGGTGGACCGTGCGTCGGGGCGCCCAGAAGGTTCAGGCCCGGGGAGAGAGGCGGGGCGCGCCCTCGGAAGGACGCGCGAGCTCGGTGCCACCTCGCTGAGGCGAGTCCCCCCCCCCCCGATAGGCCTGGCTCCCCGCCGCCCGGGACCCCCCGCTCGCCCCTCGGGGTCCCGGGACCCCCGCCTCGCCTGCGGCCCGCACTCACTGCTTCTTCCTGCGGCCCTGGTCCCGGTGCAGCTCGCGCAGGTCCACCTCGGCGCGGCCCAGGAACTTGTCGAGGCCGAGCAGCGCGCGGTGCAGCACGGTGAGCTGCAGGGTGGCGGCGGCCGCGGGTGCGGCCCCGGACGCCAGCAGCGGCGGCAGCTCGAAGGTGGCCTCCTCCCGCCACACCGGCGCGCCCAGGCTGCGCTCCGACACCGAGGTGGCGTACTTCTCCTTGCCCACCTGGATCACCGCGTACGCGTCGCTCGTTCCCCCGGGGCCCTTAGCCCGCAGACCCCGCGCCTGCAGCACCGTCACCTGCACGTGGGTTGGGGACCACAGGGTCCCCGGGCCCCTGCCCGCCGAGGCCGCCAGGGACATGGTGACACCGCGACCAGCTCAGACACCAGGAGAGAACGGAGGCCCGCTGCCGGTACAGCCAGCTCCGCCGCCCCGGCCCCTTTAAGGCTTCCGGTCACGCCCCCTCCGGGGCACGCCCCCATCGGCCCGGTCCCTCCGCCCGCCCCAACCTGTTGTCCAGGGGCGGCTTGGGGCGCCAGGGGCGGGGCTGGAGCGGTGCCGTGGGCGGGGGGGGGGGGAGGGGGGAGGGGGAAAGAAAGAAGGGTAAAGTCACGTGAGCAGGGGCGAGGCCTCAAGAATTCTCATCTATTGCCTAAGGGTGTCACAGCCCAAAGCATCACCAAATGGCAGGTGTATGGCCTTGTGTAGATTACTTAAGATCTGTAAGTCTCTGTTCATCCATAAAGTAAGATAGTCATCGCCCGCTAGGATTCTTGTAAAAGAAAAAAAAATGCATTCATGTTTTCAGCATCTTTCCTGGAACACATGAGGTCTCAGTGTTATCTAGGAGGGAGGCTGAAAATGAAGATGACTCAATGCAAGGCTGATTTCTACTTTAGCTCTGGGGGAAGTCAGAGGAAGAAGAGGATCTTGTGAGGGCCAGAAAAGGGGAAGGTTAGTAGGGATGAGGTGGGTGAGGGGGTGCCCTGTTTTGCCCTGCCCTCCCCAAATACGGTGAGGCTAAGTCAGAAAAAAAAAGCAAAGAAAAAGGGGAACTGGAAATGGGATTGCCAAATCAAACACCAGGACAGCTGGCAGTCCCTGACCCTGGCAGTTCCCCATTGTATCTGGCTGGGCTCACGTCACACACTCCTAAATTTCATCTCTGAGCTCCCTCTGAACTCCTAAGGGCCTATTAGACTGACCACTTCCTTTCATTTCTCAGCTTCAAGTTTAAGGCTCCACTCGTTCCCAGTGGGCCATCCGTTTTCAAAGGTTGTTGGAATGGTTTTAAAATTTTACAGTTAAGGAAGTGTGAAGAACAGGGAAGCTACATGTTCTAGGTGCTGTTGCAGAGCTGGGACTAAAACTGACTCCCAATCCAGAGTTTACTGACTCACCGGCTTCTTCAGACCCTCAGAACAGCAGTCTTAGATTGCTGCTGGCCCCATTTCTGTAACCTCCAGACTTTCCCCTCCCTCACACTGCTAAATTTCACTCATCTGGCAGATGGGGTGAGCCCTGCAATGTTGTCTCGCCTGCAAAAGCATTAACTTCACACTTAAGAGATTTCAAGGTATTCCTCCATGGGCCTACCTTAACAGATCACCTTTACCTCCTGAACAAACAAAGCTATAGCCTAGATAATCTGTCCCCTGCAGGAGGCCCTTCACTTTGTTGCCTTCCTCTTCCTTGCTCTTGCCATGCTCTGCTTACCCAAGTCCTTCCCACGGCAAACGTCTCCCATCTTTTGATCTTTTTTCACTACCTTGAGGGTAGGGACCAGACAACTGTTGTCCTTCACAGTTCCTAGCAGAAACCTGAGGCTACAAAGTTTTTCAGGAAGTGCTGTTGACTTGAAGAGTTACAGGTTATGCTGGCCAGTCGTGAGTACTGCTTCCTTTACACTGTAGGAAATCAGAAGACAGGCATTTTGCCTCAGACTTGGAACTGAAGGCAGCAACAGTGTGCGACGAGCCTGTTTAGTAAGTTGTACATACTTACTGAATGTGGGAAGTGGGGAGACAGGGCAGGACAGCATTCTATTGTTTTGGTACCATCTTCCCTTCTTGAGGAACTGTTCCCTTCATTCAACTTATGGCTTAATACATGTCCATAAAGATTTATTGAGAACTTACTTTGTAAGCGAGGTGCCAGTGGCTCCTGCTTGTAATCCTAAGCTACTCAGGAGGCTGAGAGCAGAGGATCACAGTTTGAAACTGCCCAAGCAGGAAAGTTCATGAAATTCCTATCTCCAATTCACCAGCAAAATAAATAAATAAATAAAAAGCCAGAAGTGGAGCTGTAATTCAAATGGTAAAGCACTAGCCTTGAGCAGAAGAAGCTCAGAGACAGTACCTAAACCCTGAGCTCAAGCCCCAAAACTGGCACACACACAAATCTTAAATTGTGCCAGACATGTGGTAGGTACTTTAGGGGTCCAAAGTTGAGTGTGACTCGGTTTCAAAGCACACCATAATAATATAAAGGAAGTATTATATTACTAAGCACTATAATAATACAAAGGAAATATTTTGTTGCTGAACGGCTTTAGGTTGTGTGTGTGTGTGTGTGTGTGTGTGTGTGTGTGTGTGTATACATGCGTGCATGGTCTGGTCCCAGAGCTTGGACTCAGGGCCTGGTTTCTATTCCTGAGCTTTTTTGTTCAGGGCTAGTGCTCTATCACTTGAGCCTTTTCTTGATAGTTAATTGGAGATAAGAGTCTCACAGACTTTCCTTCAGATCTTAGCCTTCTGAGTAGCTAAGATTACAGGTCTGGGCCACCAGCACCCAGCTGCTTTAGGTATTTTTGAGGCAAGAGGATACCTTCCTAAGCAGGTTTATAGGAAGGTAATGGCATTGAGTATATATTGGATTGATAGTCAGAGAAGGAGGCATAGGAGAACAAAGTATCAACAGAAGAAAACAGCTGTGAGGGTCTCGAAGATGTCAGGGTCTCAAAGTCATGGCATGTTTAGGGGCTACAGGTTACCCCATTGTGACTGGAATGTTGGATGTTTATAAGGGCCCTGGGGCAGGTGGAGGAAACAGAACAATTAGGTAGACCAGGTCATAAAGAGATAAACACAAAGTTATAGAGCTTGTAATACAATGTTAGACCTGGGTTAGGGCTTTGAGCAGGGACAGCATTTAACTGTGCTCAGGTCGCCTGACAGGCATGAGCAGAAGTAGCCCGAGTCTAACTTTGGAGTCAAACCCAAACCTGAGGGGAAGACGCTCTTAGCTCTGATCTTCCCTCCACTCTCACAATCTTTCCTTTTCCACTCAAGGCTGGCACTCTACCACTTAAACTACACCTCTGTTTCTGGCTTTTTGCTGGTTGAGGTAAGAATCTCACAGACTTTCCTGCTCTGGCTGGCTTTGAACTTCAATCTTCAAATCTTAGTCTGTTAAGGAGCTAGATTTATAATAATGAGCCACCAGCACCCAGCTGCTGGCAAAACACTCCTCCAAGAAGACAGCAGGGAATGATACCTGGCTGACCTGCCATACAGGCTGAGAGGAACAAGCTCTTCACTGGTCAAGGACCAGAGGAGGGAGAGAGAGAGAACAGGAAGAAAACTTGTAAGTACTATGACCTCATATGTTTGGGTTTCTACCAGACCCAGACTGGCTAACACAGTGGTGATAGGATAGAGGAGATGGGAAGGTCCTCCGGTCAGATACCCAGCACTGGCAGCACCAGCTCCCAGGTGTGTGCGTGGTGTCATTGGAGATAGGAATTGGACATTTGTCAGAGAGAAGGGCACAGCATGTGTCTCAGAGCCATTTGCAGCTCCCCCAGGCCTCCTGGCTGCTTCTTCCCTTCTTCCAGCCCAGAGCACATTGTCCACAGACCCGATGACTGACCAGCCAACCACCCAGAGCTAACAATCTGCCTCCTCTCAGTTTGACAGCCCCACATTCTAAGATTGGGGGAGATGCACAGGTACAGTGACAGAGGCAACAAAAACCAAGGTTAGCACACTGGGGGCCCTGTTTGCTACCCCTCCCTCCCCTCCCCGCCCCCACCTGTCCAGCCAGCAGCTGGAGGTCAGCTGAACCCTCCCAGGGTCACTGGATCCCAGGAGTGTTTATATTCACCTCCCACAGTCAGGGTACTGAAGAATGACTGCCCTTCCTCCCACCCTGCCCCGCCTCTAAGACCCACTGAAAGAGGAAATGAGTTTCAGTCACTCTAAGCACGTGGACAAGGTGTCCGGCAGGTTAGACTGGACAGGTAAGATACCCATCCTCCGTCAAAAGCAGCACCAGGCATCCAGCCCAGGGCCTCAGAAGTCCGGGGCAGCAGGAGCTGCAGAGCTGCTGCCGGTTAAATCAGATCGGGAATGGAGATCTGTGTGCCGGACAGCCAACAAGGCTTCTTGGAGAAGAGAGACTCCAGGGAAACTGTTACTGTCCCTTTCCAGGGATATGCAGGTCAAAATCATGTCTAGGAACTCAGGCGTGGAATGGGGAGAGGTGTATGCACTATTCTGGAGGGAGGAGCAGAAAGGGACTGGTAATGGCTGCTTGTCTTTGTCCTTTGCCTCAGACACCTCGGGTGTGGTGACAAACGTCCACACACAGTGATTCATTCACCTGGCTCTTGGTAAACAGCCTCCTAGCTTCTCTGCCCAGCTGCCACAGCCATCCACCCACCGGGTTCACTGTGGCTGCCTTTCAGGTCTTACTCGGTGGGGTCACAAGGTGTGGGGGGGGGTCTAGATCTCTGTCACCCAACTCTTTCCCTATTGGTCTAGTGGCTGGGGCAGAGAGGAAATCAAAACTGCATCTGAACTGCACAAATGAGAGGCTTTTCTGTCATCATTTTGACACTACTGCCTGGTCCATCAAGCTTTGTGTATAGATAACACAAAGGAATTGTCTTTCCCATATGTCAGGTCTCCCCAGGGAAGGCCCTGGATTCCTCCACACCTCCAGTGCTATATCACTCACAGGTTTCTACCTCTTCACTCCCACACAAAGCCTTAACCATGTCCCATTCCTAGCTGGTCTCTTGCACTTTGATTCAGTGCCTGTTTTATTCATTTCTCAAAGGCAGGAAATGGGCACCTCAATGCCAGGGTAGTATCTCTGGGTTTCCCATATGCCTTGCTCCCAGGGGCAGTTCAAGCAGAAGGGACATAACTGACTTTTTTTTTTTTTTTTTTTTTTTTTATTGTAAAGCTACTATACAGAGGGTCACAGTTACATGAGTGAGGTTATGAGTACACTTCCTCTTGAACATTGTTACCCCCTCCATTGTTTTCCCCCTACCATCCCCTCCCTCCCTCCCTTCCCCGAGGTTCTTTTTTTTTTTTTTTTTTTTTTTTTTGATTGTGATTAAATGATTACATAATTTCAAAGTCACAAGTTCATTCTAACTTCCCTGGAGCAAATTGTCTACCACAGTCTGTAATA